GGAAGAAGGGACTTCCCGTCCCTCAACATCCATACTAATTTTAAGGGGGGTTCATGGCTCTTAGGAAAGAGTTAGGCAGGAAAGTTAGTTAGGTGGTTTCGCATCTGCCTGCAAAGACATTGAGGTCATCCTATCCTAGAAGGGGTCCGCCCTAATTTGCCCACAATTAAGCAAGCCAGAAGGCATTTTTTAACTCACAAAGAAACAAGTAAGCGGAGAATTAGGTACCAGTTTAAGCCAGTCACTCACACCTGTGCAATGAAGACCCAAACGATCTTCACCTCACCTAGCCTCATTATACCATTATTATAATATGATGCATATGCCCAGAAGTTCATTAATATCATTATAACAGACTGAATTCTGGGAATGAACATGTACAGAAAGCAAATGATGAATTGCTGAGTCCTGTCAATCTTAATTGTCAATCAAGGAAGCCCACTCCTCTATGAAAAGTAACCGCCCACAGCAAATAGAGATAAAACCTTCAAAGGCTTTGTTACCAGGCCTTTGAGCCACGCTTCTCTTGTTCAAGACGGCGGCTTCCACGTCTGGAAGTGTACTCCCCCTTCTAATAAAGCTTTACTTTTTTGCTGTATTTTGGTGTCTTGCTCAATTCTTTGTTCGAGACATCAAGAACCTGGACAACGTGCCGGGAGAGGATCCCCACTCTCTGGTAACAGGGTGATTCATATACACATTAAAATTGCAATAGCTGCTCTCCTGGAAACTTCTCAGCCAGATGTTAACCTCATTATTTGACTAAGCGATTCACCATAAAAGCAGTACTTTTCAACCCAGGTTGTAGTTAGGGTGCTTTTAAAAAAATGCTGATGCCTGCACCTATCTATCCCCACACCAATTGAAATAGAATGTTTGTTGGGTGAAGCTAATTCATCTATATTTTTTAGTAATACCTCGGGTGAGTGTAATGTGAAGTTAGAGTTCAAAACCACTGCTTTAAAGATTTAAAAACTTTAGGGAGATATTTTGAAACATAAACCTGCTCTAAGTAAGAAGAAAAAATACATAAAATTCCACAGCAGTTTCCTATAACATTCAGGATAAATTTTAAATTTCTCACATTAGCACCCAAGGCCCTTTTTGATTTTCGAATCCTGTCTACCTCTCCAACCCCATCGCCTGCTTTCCCACACCCTATTCCCAAGGGTGCCCCAAACCACTTGCACTTCCCTGAACATGTCCTGCTGCTTCATGCCCGTGTGACTTTGCCCAGGTGCTCTCTTCCCCCATGTCTTTGCCTTATCAAAGACTTGACTCCAGGTTTCCCCTCTGGAAAGCCTTCCCGACCCCGCTATATACTTGGGGGAAAAGGGAAGGGATCAGTTTTTAATATAAAAGCTTATGGTTTTTGTTTAATGCTTTCTAGCTATTTGTACTGTCAGCCACATCTCAAACCAAGACCCTAAGCAGACCTGGGCTATTGTCTCTCGGAAGCCGGGTCTTCCAATAACAACATTGGGAAAATGTTACACATCAGAATGTGCTAATTCAGAAAAGACCCTTAAGTGTCCTTTAAAGTTTCTTTAAACCCCAGCAAATGCAAAGGCCAGTGCCTCTGGGCAGAAGAAATAATTAATTTTGCCTCCTACAAACTTATCATATGTACCTAACACACACAAAAAAGAAAGCCTTGTCTTTACTAGAGAAGAACTTTTGGTACATCCTGTAATTCTCGCTCATTCGAAATGTAATTTGATACATAAATTGCTTTTCCTGACTTTTTATGGAAATTTAGAAACATCATGAAATAAACATTGTTTTTTCCATTTATTTCTCTATGTTGAAAATGTCCTTCCTCGAATAGAATGTGAGGAAATTTTTGGATTTACATTTCATAATTTGGTGATCCATTTTAGAATATGTAAACTTTGAAGCAAATTGAATGAAAGTTTAAAGGCCTCTGAGAAATATTCAGACTTTCTCTGAGTTATTAGTGTGACTTCTTGTAAGAAAAAAGTCTAAACACTTCTGAAATATATGTTCAATTTTTTTTCTCATTTTTTCTTCCAACCTTTCAAGAGAAGGAATAAGTAACACCAAGGATATATATTTCTTCTCTTCAATGTTCTGACCTCTAAATTCTCCCTGTTCTATCTGCTCAGAATTGGCTTGAGAGAGACAAAAAATATCATTCTATTTTAAAGAAAAAAAAATGACAGTTCTTAGCACTGGAAAATCAACAATTAGTAGGTTCTTTCATTGGTTATTAAACAAACATGTGTTGAAGCACCTACTACAAGCCAGATAGAAAGATAAGCACTTTTTTTTTCTTTTTAAGATAGGCACTTCTGTAAGCAAAATCACTCTGGTCAAGGTCTTTGATGTTACCAATGATCTCTATCTTGGCAAATCTAATGGTCAGTTCCCCATGCTCAAATTACTCTTCCTCTCAGTGGAATTCACCCTTTTTCCTTTTTCAAACACTTTCTTCTCTAGGCTTCTGAAACACCATTCTCTCCTTGTTTTCCTTCTGTCTCCCTGGACATGCTTTTGTTGTCTCATCTGCTGGCTCCTCGTTCTCTTGTAAGCTAATTGTTAGACCTTTCTTCTTCTCTATCTACAATCTCATCTTAAATGACCTCCTCTAGTTCTGTGGCTCAATACCATCTAGATGCTAATGACTTCCAAACCTGTATCTCCAACCCCCTCGTTACATTGAGCTCTGGACTAGATCATATATCGAACTAACAATGTGATATCTCCACTTGGATATCCACTAGGCATCTCAAACAGAGCTACTAATTTCCCTCCAATGTCTCTACACCAAAGCTGCTCTTCCTCCAGTCTTTCTTATTTATTAATTGCATCCTCTGCTTGACCAAAAATCTAAACATTAGAGATTGTGTTTTGCTGCATGTAACAGAATCTAACTTAACCAGAGATCAGTTATTTTTTTCACATAATGAGAGGACTAAAGGCAGGCAGACTAGGGCTGTGCAGTGGTCCTCAATGATCATCAATATCCTGGGCTCCTTCTGTCTAATCTCTTCATTGTCTTCATGGTTGCAAGACAGCAGTCCTATCTCCAGCCTCACATTCACATTCCAATGGAACAAAAAGAAAGGATTTAACAAGGTAGAAGGCATAGAGCCTATATGGAAATAGCAAAATACCCTAGAAATTCTCAATAGACTTCCGCTTATCTCTCATTGTCCAGAACCATGTTTTAAGCCCCACCTCAGCTGCCATGGGGGCTTGGAAATATAGCCTTTTAGCTGGGCACTTTGCTACCCTGCACAAATCAGGGTTCCAACATATGGAAGATATGTAGAATGGATATCAGCTAGGCAACAGTGGTGACAGCTCTGTCATCCTGGACTGCTCTCTTTTCCTATACTTCATTACCACTCCATCAGCAGCAAGGCCTATTGGTCCCACCTCCAAAAACACCTAACAAATTAAATACTTCTCTTTACCTCCATTGCTCAAATTCTCTCTTGAGACACCATCAACCCTCACCCAGACCATAGCAATGGCCTCCTAACTGATATCCCTCTTCCATGCAGTCCTTTCTTCACACAGTAGCTGGGGTAAGTGTTTAAAAGTATAAATATAATCACACCATTCCCTTTCTTAATTCTCCAAATGATCTGTCATAGTTTGGGTTCCTCCTGAAGCAGACCCTGAGACAAGGATTTCCATGCAAGTCATTTATTTGGGAGGTGTAAGACACATGGCGGGGGGCGGGGCAGCAGAAAGGGAGTATATAGAGAGACAGGAAGGGAAGGTAGCCTAGAGAAGGTGTGATAGCAAGCCAGCATCCTCAGGGGTAACTGAAGATTAATCCCACGGGAAGCACTGGGAAATGATGTAAAACACTTGTCTCAGAATTATGTGTCCCAAAGGGCAAGGAAAAGTATTTATATACCAGTCCCCAAGAGTTGCTGGCTTCAGCTCTCTTGGCTCAGGGACCTAGTCCTTAATCTACTCTTTCCATGAGCTAACACACTGAAAAAGCCAACATTTCTGTTTATCAGCCTTTCTGCTTGTAGCTTCTTCCATATGAAGCCAAATCACAAGAAGGTGGGTGAGCCATTTAATCTCTTTAATAGGATAAGACATTAAATATAATTTAATAATGATGAATGTCTTAGAAATTTGCTAAGTTCTAGTCTCATTTGAAAGTAGCTAAATTTTTGTAATATTGTCTGACAAAAAACTGCAAATAACATCTTTAATAAGATAGAAAATTTTCAAATAGGGCATATAAGATTTGGAGTATTTGTTTAAAGTCAATATATTAATGTATACATTATTTAATAATACGAGCAATTAATTATGTGTATATTATATCTATAAATGGCATTACTACAACTGTAGATCTAGAACATAAAGATGAACAGTAAGTAAATAATTTTGGATATGTTTCTGCCTTTAGATTAGCTTACTATTTATCTTTACTTTCCTTTCTTCTTCAGTTGGTCTTGTAAAGTAATCATTACAAGCAACTATCTGACCTGCCAACATGACCACGAATTCATTAAAATCCACTTCGTCGTCTTTATGGGCGTCCAGGTCCTGCATTATCTTATCAACCAACGAGGGGTCCTTTTAGCACTAAAAGGAAAAAGAAAATTTCTAACTCCCAGGCTTTAGTTCATAATGACAAATGAAATCCCATCTTCCTTTTATTTATATTAAGGTTTTTATTTCTATTTTTCATGTCTAAGGACAATATTTTCAGGTAGGTTTGGACCAGGCATAGATTCTAAGTGAGTTTAATCCTCTGCCCCAGGGCCATGTAATTGTAGCTCAGAACTAAAGACCAAGATCAAACAGGAGCTCAACAAAATGAGCTGATGCTGAAAATGCATTTACTATACAACATCACAGGTCAAGGGCCAGGACATGGGGAGGCAGGTGGAGCACATGGAAAGAAGGAAGTTTTGCAGCAAAAGAGGATAGTGAGTGGCTCTACCTGTACCAACAATGGTACTTTGAGCAAATCATTTAACATTTTTAAATTTCCTTATATATAAAATGAGGAGAATAATAGCTCCCCACAAATTTGGTGAATACTTGAACATACTTCTAATAGTACTTAGTACCAGGTTGCTATATTTAGCAAATAAAAACACAGGATGCCCAGTTAAATGTGAATTTCAGGTGAACAATGAATAATTTTTCAATATATTGCATGGGACATACAATATTTTATCTGGCAGCCTTACTGAGCACAACACCTGACACAAAAAAGAGGCACCCAATAAAGGGTAGATCTTATAAAAATGACTGATTTTACAGTGGAAAGTAAAGCAAGGAGCCCACAGAGGAGATCAGGGTGGGATAGTGAAGTATCCACCTTTCCTATGATTAGTGGTTGATAAGAAATGCTTCCAGAAGTAGTTCATTTCCTCTAGGAATTTCCCATTGCCCTCTCATTAGCTGCCAATTATTAAATGGTTAGAAGCAAATTAAATTGATCAAAATCAACTTGATCAAAAACAATTATAAATTTTACTTAAATAAATCAAGGTGCCAAGTTTGACTGACTGAGCCTTTTATTCTAAATGTCACATAATACAGTAGCCAAAATGAATTTAGAAAAAAAAAGTTCCTGAGGACTCCTAAAATCACTAAAAAGGTATTTTGAAGAATTAGTATATTAACATATAGTATGGTGACTATAGTTAATAATACCATATATTTGAGCATTGCTAGAGAGTAGATCTTAAAAGTTCTCATCTCAAGAAAAAAGTTTGCAACTATGTATGGAGGCAGATGGTAACCAGACTTATTGTAGTGATCATTTTGCAATATATACAAATACTGAATCATTATGTTGTACACCTAAAACTGATATAATGTTATATGTCAATTATACCACAATAAAAAAAAGTTCTAGCAGAAACTATAAATTACCATTTGCTCTATCAGTGTAATGAGAATAAAATAAAATTGTTTTTGGATTACAAAAAATGTTCCTAAAAAATTGCTATGTTAAAAATTTTTCCCTTAAAGTTTTCCTATAGAGAGTGAGAAGAGTGTCATAATTACAATCACTATGGTCTTAACACAGGGTTTAGACAGAACGTCATCAGGCAAGGGAAGTGCTTTTTTTCAGGCAGCTCTATAAACATCATAGTGAAGTGTCTCCCTCAGAGGAGGCCCCAAACACTCCATTGTAAGATTTATTGGAGATTTATTGAACTCCTGGCTATTTTGAGATATGAGTCTGTTTGCTACCCAACTGGTTAATCCCAATCAGCTTGTGCTTGGCTGACAAAACTAAGTATTTGTCGTTCACTAGGAAATTTGCCACCACAGCATAAAGTATCCCAGGCTTCATTTCTGGCTCAATAAACAAGATTAATTTATAGACACCCGACAAAGCTTCAGGTATAACTACTGTAACTAGTTATAACTATAGTTATAGTTACTATTTATATAACTATAACTAGCTATATCTTTGTTTCCTGCATCAGAATGTTGAAGAACATATGAGAGCCTCGAATATAATTTCCAACACTTGGAAACCATAAACCACAGGCAAAAGGAGATATGCAGACTTACACAGAAAACAAAGGTCTCTCATTTTTGCTTCCTCTGTTTTTTGAACCTCAATATAAATTACACAGTATCTGAGGCAGAATCATAGGAGACCGTGTACGCAGAGGCTATCCCTGGAACTGTACCTCATCCATCCTTGACTGACTAGGACAGAAAAGCTGGACTCACCGAGAGGAATTCTGTGAGCTCTCGCTGTAGGAGCATCTTCAGTTCCCCCTTGTTGAGCTTGTATCTGTCCCCTTCCTTGCAAGAGTACCGGTGGAAGATTCTAATCATGGTGTCCGTGGCCATCTCCAGCTAGGTGGGCATGTTGCCAGCAAAACTGACTAGTCCAGGGGCAGGCAACTAAACTCAGGGACTTATTAAAAATAAGCAGATGTGGGGTGGGGGGTGGGGGACAGGGCGGAGATCAACACTTTAATTAAAACAGAATGTTATAAATATTACGTGTTCATAAGTTAACAATCAGACGACAAATACAGTCATAGTAAAATACAGGTTAAAAATAAACAAAAAGAGGAAGAAAATACCTAACTTTGTACCTGTTCAGCCAATGCACAGCTCTGTCAACAGGTGTTTACAATTAAATTATACGCATTTATACTTGGGGCTCCACCTCGGCACACCTGTTCCTAAGAAGATAAAAATTACCTGTGACAAAGAGACTCAAATAGAAGTGCCTCTGCGCCTGTGTTTAGTCACCAGAAGGAACAGATGTGAGCTGCTGTCCCAAGGGCCCTTAAGGAAGCATCGGTGCCCACTGTGTGCATTAGAGGAGAAGGCAAAGAGAAGGAAAAAGGAAGCCTTCAGTAATCCCTCATTATTGAGAGCAGAAATGCAGTCAGTCGCTAGGAAGTTGATGACGGGGGAAAAACTCTAAAAATAGAGTAGCAAAGAAAAACCACTGGTTCAAACCTGGAAACTGCTCAGCAAAGCCAATAGCAAGGTCAAGGGAATAAACTCAGAGCAGACTAGTTAAGCTAACCCAATGGACAGTTGTGCAGCTATAAAAAAAATAACGAGGAAGCTCTATGTGTGCTGATTTAGAAAGGTACAAAGCTGGGTCCTGACTGTGTAAGAAGGAATAAAAATAAAAATGTATATATGTATAGACTTGACATTTGAGTAAGGAGTCACCGAAAAGGGCACACAAGGAAGTAATAAAAGTGGTAGCTCTGAGAAACAAGGGGAAAAGAGTGTAGAACAGAGTGGCTGGAAATAAGGCTTCTCATTTACCCCTTTCACCTAATTTTAACTTTTTCTGTTATAGGACTGTATTACCTAATCAAAAAAAATGGAAATAGAATAAAGCCCAGAGCAGCTGTGTATGCAGAATCCATGAGGAAGGAAGTGGGGGTGGGATTCCAAGTAAGAGAAGCTTAACGAAGCAAAAGAATCACTGGAAAACCCAAAGCTAGAAATTAGCCACTGTGCCTGTCCTCTCAGAACTGAAATTATATGAAAAGCAAACCAGTATCTCCCTTTTGTTTCCCTTCCATAAACCTGTTGGGATAAAAATCCTCAACCAGCCCGCCCCGCTCCCTCTTACCACCTGGACACTCCACCGAAACCTCTCATTAAGGACCCCAGGGATGTTCTCACTGAATGTCTAAAGCCCAATTCTCAAAAATACTTTTAAGTTAGTTTTTATTAGTAGTAACAATGCATATAGTAAAGCAATAATAACATTTTGAACACTCAAGTGTATGAAATAAAAGTAAGATCCTCTCCCCACCATTCCCAACCCTAGCTACCCCCTTGTCTCCATTTAACCCTTCCTTGTGTGAGGGGTGGTCATATGGGGGTGAGAACAGACTGGCTGGCTTTAACTCTCGCCTCTGCCGCCAACTAGCTGTGTGATCCTGGGCTGGTCATTTACCGCTCTGTGTCTCAGTTTCTCAATCTGTACAAATGGGATAACAGTAGTAACTCCCCAGCAGAAAGGATTAAATGAGTTAAAATATGTGCCTGGATCAATTTGTTCTTTTTGTTCTTTAGATTCAGCATATAAGTGAAATCATATGGTATTTATATTTCTCTGACTTATTTCACTCAGCATAATAACCCCTAGGTCCATCCATGTCGTTGCAAATGGTAGGATTTCATTTTTTTAATGACTAAGTAATAATTTTTCATTGTATATATGAACCATAACTTCTTTATCCAATCTTCTGTTGATATCCATTCTTACGTTGCTTCTATATCTTGGCTATTGTAAATTGTGCTGCCATGAATATTGGGGTGCATAGATCTTTACAAATGATTGTTTTGGTTTTCTTTGGATAAATACCCAGAAGTGCAATTGCTGAGTCAAAAGGTATATCCATTTTTAATTTTTAAAGAAGCCTCCATACTGTTTTCCATAGCGGCTGTACCAATTTGCAAGCCACCAACAATATATGAGGATTCACTTTTCTCCGCATCCTTGCCAATCCTTGTTGTTTTCTGATTTACTGATGATAGCCATTCTGACAGGTTAATATGATGGTTAGGTAGAGGGCCAGAGGAGGGAGTAATTCAGGGGATCATTTTATGAATTACATAGATGTCTAACCAATGTACTGTATACTTGAAACTAATTTAAATTTAAAAATATATATATTATAATATATATAGATATGCCTGGAACATAGTGCTATGTATGTGTCAGTTATTATCCTTACAAAAATATATGCATATAATTTATATAATTATATATAATGTTTCATATGTATCCTTATGTAGCCTTAACCATACATAAACAGCATCGACATGTATACACTTTGTTTTTATCACTTACTAGACATCTTAGAAATCTTCCTATATCAACACATAGAGATCTACCCCATTCTTCATTAAAGTTGCTTATTATTCCACTGGATGAATATACCTACGTAGAGTCAAGAACTTTTTATCAGGCACTTATGTTATGCCAGGCCCTGTGGAATGACAGAAGAACTTTGCTCTTGGAGCAAATCTTGTTGCTATTTTTAGCAGGGTTGTGTTAAATATATAGAATGCAGAGGACACTGACATCTTTTTTATGTTGGGTCTTCCTATCCATAAACACCCCTATGGTTTTGTGGCCACACTTTTCCGGGTCTCCTCATTTTTGAATTCCACTTTTGCCTCTCCGGCTCTTAAACATTGTTCCCCGCAGCATTTCAGCTACTCCTATAATTTCAGTCCTTCTCCAAATTATATATTGCGGCCCAGATCTCTCTGCTCAGCTCCAAAGCCATCTACCCAATGATGTACTAAACCCCATTCCTACCTGAGTATCCCACAAGCTTCTCAAACTCATTTAGTACCAAAGCAAAACCTATCCCACACAAACCAGCTCCTCCTGACCACCACCTCAGTCATCCTATTCCACCCATCACCCAACTTCTGGCACTATTTTTAAATACCAGTCGAACTCATCCATTTCTCTCCGCTCTTTACCACCTATAGGACTTCATTATTTTTGGTCTACATTACTGTGATAGCTTCCTTACTGCTCTCTCTACTTTCTATCTCTTCCCTCCATTCTGATCTCCATTCCACTGTCAGAGTAGTTTATACAAAACACAAACAAGCTCTCACACTCGTAGACATTCAAAGGTCTGACTCTGCCTACAAACTGACCAAAATGTTGTGTTCTCTCATTTTTCTGTGTCTTGGCACATTCTGGGCCCACTACCTGAACTGCTAATCCTGTCTACTTCTTAAGGCTTAGTTAAAATATCTCCTCTTGGAAGTTTTCTTGTATTCTTCCCAATTCCCCAACCTCCACCTCTGTATTCTTTTATCCCCTAGAGCATCTACTTATCTTTTTTTATTATTGCATTTATCATACATTCCTAAATCACTTTTTTCCCTGCCCATACACTCTTCACTCTCCAGACTGAATGAGCCCCTTGATGGCAGAATTGATATCTGGTTCATCTTTGCATTCCACAGGATTAACACAAGATCAAGCATTTGATAAAAATGCTCAGAAATCTTTGCTGATGGATGGATTAATGAGCAAATAACTCAGAGAGGGAAACTGTAAGATCTCCAAAGATTTCAACCTTATCTAGTTTAACTGTCTGATTACCTTTATTCCACATAAAAAATTTGCTTCAGAAATAGGAAAGAGAGAGAGAGAGAGAGAGAGAGAGAGAGAGAGAATAGTCATTTTAAAGGATAGAAAGAATTTAGAACTAAGTATTATCAGGGTAAGCTGTTGAAGTTATAAATGCACTAAAATGCATAAGTCTTACAGAGTATGTGGGTCTCAGCAATATTATATATAAATCATATTCAACCACAAATTAAATTAATTTACTTGGAGAATTCAGTTGGCAGGCAAAATTCTTAATAAAGCAGATATTTAAAATTGTAATGTAGACATATACACCTTTATGTTTATTGTAGCATCATATGCAATAGTGAAGATATGGAAACAACCTAAGTGTCCATTGAATAATGGATAAAAAATGTGATATTTATGTATTTTTAAATAGAATATTACTCGCCATAAAAAAGAATTAAATTTTGCCATTTGAGACAACATGGATGAACATGAAGGGTATTAAGCTAAGTTAAATAAGTCAGACAGAGAAAGACAAATACCATATGATTTCACTTATATGTGGCATCTAAAAAATCAACCAACCAATCAAACAAAACAAAACAGAAACAGAAACAGAATCATAGCTTCAAAGAACTTGGTGATCGCCAGAGGAACTGGTGGAGAGACGGGAGAAATTAATTAAGAGGTACAAACTTACAATTATAAATGTCACAAGGAAGTAACGAACAGCATAGAAAATATAGTCAATAGTAACTTTGTATGGTGACAGAAGGTAACAAAGACTTTTATGGTGGTGATCACTTCATAATGTATATAAATATTGAATCACTGTGTTATACATCTGAAACTAATATAATATAAGTGAATTATATTTCAATAAAAATATTGTAATGTGGTACTCTGATTCGAGAGGTGAGAATGTGACCTCTACATGCTTTGTTCTTGGAGTTTGAAAGCAAGGTTGTTTCTACTTGGTTTCTGCTTAGTTTTAAGAGCAGAGCTAGATGTTTCCTTTGATACATGCTGCCCCTTAGTGTCCGGCTGTGGGACTGCATCTGGAAGCCCTCTAATTCCCAGTTGAAACTGTGTTTATGAGTGATCCTTCCTTCCTCAGGGGTTTATCTGTGACATAAGCCAGCCCCAGCCTCTGCCCTCCAGAAGACTTTCAGAAACAGATAATGTCAAAAGGCTGAATAGAACTCTGTCAGGCTACGGACACAAATTTACAGGTGACGAAATCCCAAGGCAGGCAGGGGAGATGCTCATGTTTACAGCACAGAAGAGTCCTCCAGTAGCACTTTATCTGCTCTATTAATTATTAAAGTTTTGCTCTTTAATTTCTGGCATGAGTCATAATCCTTAGGGCTAAAAGGTACAACTTCAGACCCAAGTTAGTGTGCAAAGAATGAGAGGAATGGAAATATCAGATTAGGGGAGTTTGAAAGTAAGAGTTATTTTAGAGGGAAAAAAAAGCTAGTATAAATCCACAGGTGATAGCCAAGAGTAGAGCTGTTTGAAAGTGGCTTTGACCATGGAGCCTGAAAGAAAGGATATATGTGAAAAACAGGCCATGATACCAATTTAGATGTGACTGACAGCCTCTTCAGGCTGGGAATACCCCAGGGTACCTGAGCCTGCCATGAATTCCTGTCTCTGAGGCCAAGGCCAGAGTCATATGGAAGGCCGAGTTGCTTCATTCAAAAGTTTCTAGTTTTTCTCTTTTCATGTATCTTATTCAAATGTTCTGTCATTTTCATAGCAATGACGTGAATGAATCTAAAATAATTACGTGTGTGAAAGCTCCCTAAAAAAGGGCAGGACAAAACTTCTGGGGGTGTTGGAGATGTTTATTATTGTGATTGTGGTGATGGGTTCATAGGTATATACACATGTCAGAACTTATCAAAGTGTGCATTTTAAATATGTGCAGTTTATTATATGTCAATTATAACTCAATAAAGCCCTTCAAAGAAAGAAACTTTCCCAGAATCACATGACTAGATTATTGCAAGCTGAGATTCAAACCCATGTTTGTCTGACAAAAAAATAAAATCATGCAGCCATTTAAAAGTAGAATTATAAACACTACAGAAATACAAAAAAAATCTTTCCAGTAAAATAAGTGAAAATAACAAAGTTAAAATCATATGCATGCTGTAATGGAAAAAAATTGTGTACACATGGAAAAGAAGAAAACTATAAATAGTTTTAATACTTATTTAATAAAGTTACGGATTATTTAAAATTATTTAATGCTGCTGTTAAATTGCATTTTTAATTAAAATATCAATTGTAATTTAATACTTATTTAATAAAGTTACGGATTATTTAAAATTATTTAATGCTGCTGTTAAATTGCATTTTTAATTAAAATATCAATTGTAATTGTACACATTTAAAATTACTATCTATCTCCATATTAGGCAATGCCTTTTAAAGTATAAAGTTGAATTTTAAAACTTAGCATGTAAAATTCTAGATACAAAATGACCATGTTATATTTTTATATATGTATTAGAAAAGATAAAGAAAATAGGCAAAAATGTTATTAGGTGTTTTTTAAGGGTGATTTCTTTCTTTCCTTTTGTGCTATTCTTTGGGATAAGTTTCAATTTTTGGCATGGCTATATTTTACTTTTATAACAAAAAAATATGAATTGTTTTAAAAATAATAGACTTGACAGAAAGCTTTTGAACCACCCAAGTTCAAATATTCACTGACTTTCCTTAAGGCATGTTCCAGTTCATAAAGCCCTTTTCAAAAACACTGTTAAGCAGCAAGTATTTGCCCAGTGCTGAAAATAGTCTGTAAGAAATTATCAAGACAAATGCTCAAAATATTACTTAAAAACATATTACACAGTATTATGAAATACTGAGCCAACCATAAGGTATATGATATAACTGGGCCTTGTTTTTGACAAAAGGAGAATGACAACCTTGGGCAAAATGTCCTTAAAGTTCCTTCCTTTAAAATTTTTTCTTATTCCAAAGTTAGTTTAAGGATCAGTGGGCATGTTCGTGTGTGTGAGTGGGCTGGCGTGCGTGTTTTTCCTCCTTCAGCAAACAATTCAGATAGTGAAGTGAAGGGCAGAGGTCCCGCAAGGAACTTCAAGGAGAGCCATGACTGCATACTTTTCTCCTCACCTTTGTGATCCAGAAAATCAGGTTTAGAGAATTTGCCACACATTTCTCCCAGGAAATTCAGATGTCTGTATTCCAGGAACTACAAAAAGGATATTTTTCTTCTCTGTCCCTTAAATAACATCTCCTATGCTAAAAAAGCAATTTATCTTCCCCTTTACCCACAGACTAAAGCTAAGAGTCAGAAAGAAGAGAAATTATAAAGGCAAGAGTTTAAATATTATTTTTCCTTTCACAAGTCAAGCATTTATTTCCCTGGATGAAATGACAATATTTCTGCAATTTGCTTCAAAATAATCCAGTGGGTGGGAGGTAGGTGGTAGGATGGGAAGTGGGCAGAGATTATACCAGATTGGCCATTAGTCATTTAACTGATGAAGCTGCGTGCTGGGTCCTTTAGACTATTCTACTTTTCTATTTTCTATAAGTTTAAATCTTTCCTTAATAAAAAGTGTTCACACCGTGCACATCTGTGCACACACACACAGACACACAGAATTCTCATTCATATCAGCATGAGAAAAAAGTTAAGAAAACTGGAATTATTTCACCAGAGGAAGAGAAGTCACTTAATATGAAGGATTGCATAGAGAAGATGCCACTTGCTTTTTGTCACTGCTACAGTCAGATGAAGAATAACTTAAACAATAATAAAGAAATAAAAATATTCCCTAATCATGAAGGATGTTAAACCCTGAAATCAATTAGTGGGAGAAGATAGCCAAGCAAGTTCTTTTGCTGAAAATAGAGAGTGAAACTGAGTTTTTTATATTGATGAATAAGCGGGAGAACATTAATGCTTATTAATTGACCCAAGATTTTCTTGAGCCAAAGGAGGTAGCTGAATCTTGGTCTAAACCTTAGCCAGATAGAATGGAAATAAGCAGATAGAATGTGTTTGGGCAAGTGGCACGCATCCACGCCACAGGTCTGAACCTCAGCTCACGTTTATTGTCAGGACTAGCTATTAGCAAATCCAACAATTACACTTCCATTGTCAACTAAAACGATACCCATTCTCTGTAACAATGCTGAAACAAGGTTCCAGTGGTAGCCAGCCTTCAATACAGTCCCCAGGGATCTTTGTCTCCCAGTATTCACACCTTTGTGTGGTCTCCTACACTAAACAGAGCTGGTCTGTGTTACCAATAGGATATTATGTGTGACTTGTGAGAGCAGGGCATAAAAGACATCGTGACTCTGCTCTGTTTCCTCTTGGACCACACTTTCTGGTGGAAGTCAACTGTCATGTTGAGAGGACACTGAGACCCTCCAGAGAGATCCACGTAGCAAAGAACATAGGCCTCTGGCCAACAACCAGCACCAACCTGCCACATGTGATGAGCTCCTTAGAATAGGATCCCTCAGCCATAGCCAAGCCTTCAGATGACTGCCACCTGACCTTTGGGAAATTCCAAGCCACAACCACAGTTGCACAGCTCTCGAATTCCTGTCCTACAGAAACTATGAGATAATAAATGTCTTAAGCTAAACTCGGGGTAAATTGTTATACAACAGTAGATAACTAACACGGTTTTAGTTGAAAGTTTATTGTCTTTTATACATGACCAGAAAAATGGTGCAATATAAATAAATATGTTCCTTTGATTAGAATTTCTCAGAAATAAAAATGTGAGTGATGAAATTCTCATGTGGTCTCAGGATACACATGCCAAGCTCTTACAGAAGAGGGCACTGTTTCTTACTTTTTCCACAAAGCAGAACTAGAAACTTAGCTAAAATAACAATGGGTTCTCTGCAAGTGACCTTCTTGAATGTCTTAATAGAATTAATGCAGGGCTTTTTAAAATCACAATTTAACCAAAAATCACTTTTTCAGATTTTAAAAGCATCACTTTGGATCACAAAGTAGCATTGCTTTATCATTCTTTAGTGTCCCCTGAGCAATATCTGCTTTATTAGAGCTTCTCTGATTATTTCCAAAGTTCATTGAAAAGCATTAGTACTTGGTGTTATGAATCTGTTTTCGTGATATGCAACCCAGAATTCCAAAAGCCTTCCACCATTCCCTTCTCAGTGTTCCATGGTCAGCAGCCGAGAGGGCGGTCCATCTCAGAGTCTCCAGGGAGAAAGGTTTCTCCTCACTCCATTCTAGCTTCCTTCAATAAACAGCAACCCTAGAAGTTTTCTGTCTCTGAAACTGGATCTGGAGTATAGACTATTTTTCCTTTATTTCTGCCACGAATGAGGCTAGAGTCCAGGTATAGGCATCCTTCCTGAAGAGTCGCCTTGGGAATTATTTCTTCACAGCTCTCACAAGAGTTTTGTGAGCCACCATGTCCATGTCAAGGAATTCCTTTTCTACCCAAAGTCAGCTTCCATTGCTTGCATAAGAACTCTGACTAATTCACCCCATTCAAGACAGACTCTGCCAAGCTGGCCGAATCTCCAGGGGGCCTGGCCCTGGGCGCAGAAAACATCAGACTCTCTCCACAAAGAATGGTCTCGATAGACTGGATTTGCCAGTTTGGGATTAAGTTAAAATTTACCCAGAGTCCCAAAGGCTAATTGTGGTTGTATCTTTCTAGGACACTGGATTCCCTAGAGGTTGGCATTCGCCTCCACATGACTAAGGCTCCTTACTTTCAAACAGAGCTAGAAGGTCCTGGGTATGAAGATCCTGCACTATTTGCTTGGGATAGGGAGGGAGCTTTAATACTATGCCTCCAAAAGACCTGGATTTCAGAAAAGGTATTTGCTTGTTTTCAGCATGCTAACTCCTTCTTTTCCCAGCAGTTCAGAAATAGATTGGTGCTGGTAAAAGTGGCTTAAATATCTGAATCTTAGTCAACTCTGAGTTCCAGTGTTCATATAATAATGATATATTCCTCCTATCTTGATTTGGCTCTTAATTACGTGAACATCATGTGCTTTAACATTTACTTTTCTCCACCAAAACAAACTAATTGGTTACAATTGAATAATCTTTTTATAGATTTATAGTCTGTGTATCCAACAAGTTGAGACATTTCTCTTTCGAGGTTACAACCTTACCAGGATTGTTTTTTATGTATCCCTTTAAAGGAATGTGAACTGAAAAACTCCCAGCCTTATTCATTTATAAACATAATTTACAATTGTGAAATGGAAGTTTAGAAGCTACTTCCGAAGAATTTGTGTTTTAGACTGTACAATTAGCCCCACCCTGTTTATCATTGTCCTTGGATGATGAACGCATTGGATCTCAGTTAATCAGCCATTTTTCCTCACCTTACTCTTGGCATGATGCTCCCTGAGCCAGTCTGTGCCATGACTGGACTGGTGAGAGTGATGAGAGAAAACTGAGAAGGAATAAAGGATAAGTGTGTCAGATATCCTTTGGGTTGCACATACTTCTAGAATTCCATTTTAATTGCCTCAAGGAAGGCTTCACCTCTTCTACCTGTCAAAAGATAACACAAATTGAAATTGGCTCTGGCAGTTCCATCTTTCAGCAAACGAAGGCTTTATTGCTTCAAATTCTGGTTAGATAAGAACTTCCAGGAAGCCACTTTAAGAATTGGCTGGGAAAATGGCAGGCAAAAACTAAGTAAGTTCCTAGGAGCTCATGGAGTAAAATTTTATTATAAACTGCTTTTATTACTTCTAAAAATCTTAGGTAAGAAAGTTCCTATGGAAGACTCTAGGTTTGGTTATTAAAAATAAGAAAGGAATGCGTCAGGGAAATTTTTATCTACAGAGTGATGTCGCTGAGGGAATATGTGTGGAAGCCCAGATTTCATTTGATATATGCAAGTCCTTATATTAGTGGGCTATATTTCACACTGCTTCCAATTCCTGCCTTCCTAAAGCTTCTTCTCTTGGTTTCCATGACTTCTTGCTATGTTGATTTTTCTCCCAACTCTGTAACTCTTCTTCCTCTGTTTTCTTTCCTCAGCAGGACTCTGCCTTCTAATGCCTGTCCTTTAAATATGGGTACTCTTAATTGTTCTATGTGGTCAACCTAGGCAATCTCATCTACACTGATGGTTGCACTTACAAACTATGATTCCAGTTCCCACATCTATTTCGCCAGTCCTGACCTGAGAGTCATATCAGTACTATTTTACTTTCATCTCCTATAATATGGATCTATAACTTTTTGTGACATGCCAGTGTTTTCTATAGCCATTTGCCTCTGACTTTTATACTTACACTCCTAAGAGGAGAAATTAGATTGTGGTTTTTATTGCTCTTACTTTGGACTTGACTTGGTTATGGGCTGTACTAGTTATGATGTATTTGTCAACATGTAGTAGAATGACTAAATAAATGTAATTTAAACTTAATAAAGATGTATTATCTTTTACAATAAGGGTCAGTTGTTTCAGTGTTTCAGTAATATCATCAAGAACCTAAGACCTTTTGTCTTTTCTCTTCACCATCTTCTGTGTGTTGTCTCTCATCCCTGACTGTGCCCTGACAGTCCCAAGGTAGCATCACATCCTTGGACCATCTATAGCAAATTTATGGAGTACTTTAATTTCTCCAGATAGTCTAAAACTATCTAAAATTATTCCTGTATTAGCTCAGTGGAGAATTTGGTTACTGAAATGTATTAGACCAATCTCCCCAAGAATTGCTTGTGTAGTTGTGCTTTGGGGCAAAGACACTTGACTATGTTGAAGACTCTTCTGGAATCAACCTTAGATTTGTATACACTCCAGGGATGAATGTTGTTTGAACACAGCATTCCCTCTCTATGGAGACTCTCAGGAGAAATTTTGGTGTGGTCTTTGTGTTAAGAAGAGTCCTGAGTGGCCTCAGCAATCATCTTACAAAAACTATGATTTGCGAGGCTGGTAACGTGTCCTCTCTTTTTGGGGGTGTTAGAAGGCCTAGAGTGAAGTCTGAAGATGATATAGGCCAAATACATGATTTTACCACCTGTTGTGAACTCTAATATCTACAGCAGTGGTTACCTTCAAATTGTTTAACAATAGATACAATGCAGGTACTGATCAAAATGGGCAATGGCTGTAAATAGTGAGAGTCAGCCTGCTTCCGTGGCCAGGCAGCTAATGTAGGCAGGCAAAATAGAGTGAGAATAAGAAAGATCTTGACTTATTTTTGTTTTATTCACATTTGATTGAGATCTAAGTTCAGAGAAATAATCAACGATGATAAATGGGACTGACACTCTGCATCCGTGTTGGGGAGACAATGGGAGGTGGACAGGTCTCTGGTAAACTGGAGAAGCCAGGCCCTCTTAAGAATAATGACTGCTCTTCAGATCCAGATCATGGTTGCCAGATTAGAATATGGCTCAGAGATTCCAGTACTTGCAATATTTAGAAAAAAGCCAGAAATCCTGATTTTTAAGAACACTTTAATTGTAAGACTATGACTCAAAAAAAAAAAAAAGAAAGAAAGAAAGAAAAAGAAAGAAAGAAAACTAACCAAAAATAGACAAAGAGACAAACATAAGACTGCAGGCCAATCCAAACAGCAGAGGTTAGCCAAATGCTGCCGGCTTGTGACCTCTGCTCTCCGCAGTGTATTTTGTATTACTCTCACTCCTCCGTTTTACATTCCATCTTTGTTTTTCTTTCTTCTTTTTCTCCTACTTAATTTATAACATCCCACTCTACTTTATGTATCCTTATATATCACTTTAAATTCTACCCAGGACAGAGCAGAGTATAAATAAACTGAGTATAGGACATCTCCCCTTAGATAATTCATTGGCATCTCAAACTCCCAAGTCACACAAGATTGAACTGATCATTTTCCTCCCTTGCCTCTTCATTCCTTTATTCCAGGCAGGATTTTCTTTTGTCAGCCAATTCAATCATCAGCAATACCCCCATCCACTGATTATATAAACTAGAAACCTGAGTGTCATGCTATGTCTGGTCCTTCCTCCTCTCATTCAATCAGTTGCCTCCTCGGTCTCCCATTCCCTCCTCTCCATCCTTAGCACAATGGTTTGGGCCTTTGCCATATCTGGTCTTTATTACTGTAAGAGATCCAACTCACTTCCTATTTTGACTTTCAAAATCAGCCTTCCCCAGATGCGAGGATGCACCCTGACCTCCTTCCTACCTCAACCTTACAGGGAATCCCCACCATCTCTGGGTTAAATATAAGTTTGCCGAAGTGCTCCAACCCATCTCACCTGCCCCACCTCTCACACTTAACGCTCTGCTTCTGGGATCCTCAGTTACTCGGCTCAGGAATCAGTCCTCCCAGGAAGGCCTCTGATGTCCCTCAGCTCCCTGGAACGTTCAGCAAGCCTTCCTAGTGCTCCCACATCACCTCGATCCCTGACAAGAACTGGATTAAACTAAAATAATAGTAGTAACATTAATTAGCACACACTCTGCCCAAGCACCATTCTAGGCAGTTTAAATGAGTTCTATTCATTTCATCCTCAAAAATCACATGATGATTATTAGCCTTGATTTATAGCTTATTAAGCTGAGGCACAGAGAGGCTACCACAGCTTTCCCAAAGTCAAGATACCAACGAAATGAGGATTTGAACCCAGGGCAACTGGCTCCAGAGCACTTGCTCTTCACCACCAGGAGGCGCTGGTTGGGTTATCTATCACAAGCAGTTTCTTGAGAAACTCAATGCTCTACCACTCTGTTTACTCAGAGATCTGAGGGCTCTAAGTTATAAAGGACAGCTCTTCCTGCTTTCTCACCCATAGCAAACAGCATGCCTGCTGTGCCCTGAGTCTGGACTTGCACAGACACAAAGGCTTCCTCAGATGCGTGCCATTCCCAGCCAGGGCTCCTCACTGCCTTCGTTCTTGGGAGGAAGATTGCTAATCTCCACCCTGGAATCAAAATAAGAGCTTTCTCTTTACCTCATCTCCACAAAAGGCCTCTGTAAGATTAAAAACAACAACAAAAAAGGCGAAAGATTCTTGTTTCTAAATCTAGTGAAGTTTGAGGTGAGAGAGCTCTGGGCTACAGGGTAGGGCCTAGGGAAGGCAAACAGGGCAGAGGGTTACCATGGGCCTTCCTCTCTAAAGGTGCCCTTACTTGACCACAAAGGAGAAAGACAGAGACACAGAGATGGAGAGAACACCAGCAGCCCTGGCTCAGAGCCCTGGCGTTATGATAGCCCTTTGCCCTACAGTTTCCTTTTGGCTCCCGTAACCATCCCATCCTGGCCTTCTGCCTCTCACTTCACTTTGAGAAATTCAGGTTTCATGTTTCTGTCTAGGTGAAGGATCCAGAAGAACCTTCAAGGTGTGGCTTGTCTTCCCTAGATCTTTCAGATTTAACTTAGATTTGCTCATGTCTTCCCAGACACCAGTTTAAGACCACTCCCAAAAAACACAGCGGCCATTTGTGCTCCTGGACCATCAGCCCTGGGCCTACGATCACTCTTGGCCTAGAAAACTACCGTTCAAAAAGAGAGGGGCAGATGCAGGTAAGGAAAGGACCAATACACACAATATCTTGAAAGAAGGAACACCGGGATAGATTCTGAAGACTGACACATCTCTTTATAAAAAACTATTTATCGCACCTGGAAACGAAAATTAAGAGGATCCAAACTGTAGAATTATAGAATGATGGACATTTTGGAAATATCAGAATGATCTGCGAGAGCACAAGGCACACATGAAATGTCTGCATTGCTAGTTAATTACAAACTCTGTCAGGGTGGCGTTCCCAGGCACAGCCAGCCAGATCCAGACAATGGCATGGGGTCCTGTTCTTCCATGTCCTTAGAAACATTATTAACACCACTGCAAGGCAACCAACACATGGCAGAGCAAAATGATAAGGATTTTAGTATTCCTAGTGCTTAAGTGCAAAACGAACAGAGTGCTTGGTCAACAGCCTTTTGATGTCTGTAGTATGATTAACTTGCCAGTGGAGTGCAATTAGCAACATCCAGAATATGGCGAAATCTACAAACGACCTGGTATCTTCAATAAATAAGTTGCAAGGGGAAAAAAGCAAAACAGAATATGAATTAGGAGACTTAAAAGACATCTACCAATTGCAGTGTGCGAGTTTTATTTGAATTCTGATTTTTTTTTAAACTAAAAAAAAAAACCCACCCAATTATGACATTTGAGACAAGTGGAAATTTGAACACTGGCAGGATATTTGATAGTAAGGAATTGCTTTTTTTAAAGTATGATTTTTAGTGTCACTGAAACATTCACAAGTGAAATAATACGATTACTGGGATTTGCTTCAAAATGGATGAGATGGGGAGGTGGATGGGGTAGAACCAAGTGGATGGGGTAGAACCAAACAAGGGTTGATGGTTGTTGGGAACAATCAACACATGAGCTTCCACACACAATTCTGTCGATTCTGTGTGGGTACAAAATTCTCCACAATTAATGTTTTTAAAAAGTAAAAAAAATTCTAGTTATAATTGACAAACTATCATTGGAATAAATACCATCATTTCCCTCCTTGCTCTGCATTTTTTTAAACCATAAATTCTGATAAATCAGTTATATTTTAAACAAAATCTCTCTTTTACGAAGATCTTTGGTTGGAAAGAAAATTTGTCACCAATAAGAACTAGACACAACTCTCACCGAGTGCCCAGGTGGCTTCTGAAAGAGCTCAGAACACAAGGTCTGGCTAAAACTGCTTTCTCAGCATTAGATTATTAAGTCTATCTATCCAGTGCTACATGTCAGCTATAATCAAACCCTTTTATGGACTTGGGTCATTCACCCTAGGCTATATGGTGAAGCTGGGGTGAGGAATTCAGACCCGAGCCAAGACCTGGCAATGATGAGAATTAATCTCACATCTTCAGGGCTCAGACTCCAAGCTCTTTAGTACCAGCTGTAATAGTTGCAACCATGCCCTCAAATTCTCCACAAAGAATGATAGAGAATAACTTGGATTTCCTTCCAGAGATAATACAAAGAGAAATGGGGCAGAAATTCTCCAAGCAGAATTTCTCTCAATTGTCACTGAGTTTCAGGAGAAAAATATGCCCAAAATACAAAAGTAAATAAAGGAGGAAAGACATAGTTTCATATTTTCCAAGATGCTCATAGCTCTGCATGATCATTACACTCAAAATTTGTGACGTTCAGATTGGCAAGCATTTAAGACTATGTAAACTCAGTGTTTACAGTGGTGTGGGTAGAGACTCACATTATTGACAAGTGTGCAATTTGGTATGTCATCTCAAGAGGGCAATTTAGCATGATCAAAATTACAAATACCTTTAATCCAGAAATTCTATTTCTAGAAATACAGTATATCCAAAGACACTCCCATCATCAATCTCTCCTAAATCACTCTCATCTCCATACTCTTAAGGTAACAGAATCACTCTTTGCCTCTCTTGCCCCACAATCCTCTGCTCCCTTTCACAATTATATTTGTCGTATGGGATCATCTACCATCACTATGTCCACTTCCTTATTTCTCATTCTTTCTTGAACATACCCCATTCTGGCTTCCTATCCCTATCACAACACTGAGATTGTGGGTCTGGTCAAGGTCACCAATGTTCTTCACGTGGAAAGATCCAATAGTCACCTCTCTATTCAATCTGACCTCTCAGTAATATTCCATGATTGACCACTCTCCTTTATGCCCTTGGCTTCCATGACAGCATATTCTCTGGCCTCTCTTCCCTTCCCAGTGGCCAGTCCTTCTCAGTCCTTTTTTGGCTCCTTTTCTGCTCAAAGGTGTACAGGTCAAAGGCCTCTGACCTAGGCTTCCTTCTCTTCATCTATTCTCTCCCCTAGGGAATCTCACGAAGACCTTTGCTTTAAAAGTGCCAGTGACATGATAAACACTTAAATCTGTATTTCCAATCCTGAGCACTATAAAAAAAAACAAAACTCAGATTCAGATATCTAAATGTCCTATCTCAACAGTTCTACATGGATCTCTTAACAGGCATCTCAAACTCTAGGTGCCATGGCCCAATAGAACTCGTGACTTTCAATTCCTAAATTTTTTCACTCATTATTGTACCATAATCCACCAAGCAAAAAATCTAGGTACAATCTTGAATTCCTCGATTCCTCTTTTCCTCACATCTGAGAACTTTACCTCCAAAACATTGCCCAAATTAGTTCCCTTCTCTCCATCTCTAAATCATACAAAAATCATACTTTAAAAAAAGCAATTCCTTACTATCAAACATCCTGCCAATGTTCAAATTTCCACTTGTCTCAAATGTCATAATTGATTTTTTTAGTTTAAAAAATAAATCAGAATCCAAATAAAACTCACACGCTGCAATTGGTAGATGTCTTTTAAGTCTCCTAATTCATATTCTATCATCACCCTAATTCAAACCAACATCATTTCTTGCTTGAATTGGTGGAATTTCCTCCTTTTCTTGCTTCTCCTCTTGACTTCTGTAATCCATATTTCATAGTAAACAGTGACTTTTTAAATTACCAGTAGAACAACCCTGTAGCATCCTACCTAGAAAGTCAAGCTTCTTACTCTCTTACAAATCTTTCAATTGCCCAGCCCCTGCCTGTCTCTTCAACCTTCTTGTTCATAATCTTCCCTTCACTCATTCCCAAAAAGCTCTTGCTTAGGATCCTCATATGGCTGGCTCTTTCTTGTCCTTTACAACTTAAATTTTACCTCCTTTGAAGGCTTCTCTAATCCCCTAATACAAAATGCTCTTAGTGTTTACCCTTAGAATTTAATACTATTGTTTTTCTCTTCAGTCTAGGATTAGAAAGTAAACTCCATGATAACAGAGTTCTTGTCTGTTTTGTTCTCCACAATATCCCTCACTGCCTTGAACATGACTTGGTACGTAGTACATGGTGGAAGAATATTGAATGAACAAGTATGTAAAGATATAGAAAGATAGATATTTATTCAAATATTGCTTGGATAGCAAAACAAAACAAAACAAAAAAAACAACACCAACAAACTACCTAAAAAGCTAGAGGATTTTTTAAATTACAGTGTACCTGTACAACGGATACATTTAAAATAATGTCAGTCTATAAATGCTGATATGAAAATAATATCTAAGATGTATTCATATTAACTTAAAAGGGCCTTTCAAAGTGAGAGGCAACAATATTTATTTGAGAGCAAAAGAACAGCTATTCAGGACGCACTGATTCAGGCAGAAGCCCAAATAATGTTCTGATTAGGAGACATAGGCAGTGGGTATTTATGAGAAAGGGCAGGGTATCAGTTACGTCAATAGAAGGAAGGCATTTCTATTGGTGCGGATAACATAGTACTGTTAATTCTAAATAATGTTTTTAATTTTCAGTCAGTATTAATCAGTTCAGTCCGACAGTTTTATCTGCTTTCTTGTTATCTTTGCACTTCTTTGGAACATACAGTTGCTTTTGGCCCAGTCCAAAGGTTATTTTGCCCTATTTTAACATTCAAAGACTTAGGCATAAGACATTCAAGGCAGCTGTGGCTCCATTTATTTTTTTGACAATATACATATTGTGGTAGCCTGGTTCCAATACAGCCCTCAATAATCCTTGCCTCTAAATGTGCTTACGTAGTCTTCTCCCAAATTGAACTGGAGCTAGTCTGTGCGACCATTGAGTATGGTGGACATAATGTGTGACTCAAGGCTAGGTTCTAAAAGGCATTATTGCTTTTCTCTCTTATTCTTTTGGATCACTCATTTTGGGAGAAGCCAACCTTTGTGTTATGAGGTCACTCGAGCAGCCCTGTAGAGTCTCGCGTGGAGAGGAAATGAGGCTTCCTGCCAACAGCCAGCACCAACTTGCCATCCTCATGAGGGAGCTACACTGGACGTGGATCCTTCAGACCCAGTCAAGACTTCAGATGATTGCAACATGAGATCCCCAAGTCACAACTATGTGGCTACATTGCTCCTGAATTCATTACCCGGAGAAACTGTGCAATAAATGTGTTTGTTGTTTGAAGCCACTACATTTTAAGTTAATTGGTTATGTATAAATATAATATGTAGTATAACTCCTTTTTCATTATAAAAGCATGTAGGTACACATGCTTGTACTATGTACGGAAATATCTCAAAGAATATACAAAGGGAGTAACTTAGTCCTAGTGTGATGGGTTCTATATACTATTACATTCTCAATTTACAAGAACTTATGATTTTTATGGTCTTAAATTATTTACTTTTTGGAAGGTTTAAGCAAAACTGTTAAGAGGGATAAGCTACAATAGCAACCTTTCCTAAGCCTTCTTGTCCTTTGTTTTCCTTGACTTTCTCCCACACTGAAGACCTAATTTTGAAACAGGTTATTTTTTAAAGGCTTTTGAGTGGGCCAAATACTGGCGGATTGGTAATATTGACGTAGTTCACTTAGAACATCAACCCTATCCATGACTGGACAACTGCTAAGATGGGAATCCTGATTTAAGTATTTGTATTTAATAAGCCAGTAATGTTGCAATAACTGTGGGATGAACAAACGAGCCATTCAGACTATTGCTAGATGCTGATGGTCTGATTAGAGTGTTTGATGCAGCCCGCAGGCTTGGGCTGTGGTTTCTGCAGAAGGTGGCTCGTAACTCCAATTGTGCCTAATTTCTCACCAATAAAGATAGAAACTAGGAAATATTCTATAGATTGACCAACTGGTAGAGGCAAGAGCAGTTCTTACCCAAACCATAGAATTACTCATACTCTCCCTCAATAAATTATTTACATTTAAACAGAACAATCATCTCAGTGAAGTTCCAAGAACTGGGGGTCAGGGAAGACTAGACACAAGCTTTTGACTAGTGCGGAATCAAAAACTTCTCTTTTAAGACACCCAAACTCTGCAGTACAAATTAGTAATTTTAATCGATGAGGCCAGGGGACAGCACTGACAAACTATACCTTTAACTTAGTAATATATTCATTCCAGTCCTCTTAGGGGCCTCCAAGGGGTTAAAGTTACAGGCATAAAGACGTAATCACTAAACTATGCATAGTGATGAGATTATGGCCCCAGGATTTATGAAATCCTGGCCGATACTACCCTGCAAACCACAGAAGTGACAGACAAGGAAATGCCCAGTAAAACAACTCCAATCAAGTTGGCTTACCCTGGGACCTGCCCAGCAGGAGGCAAATCCACATTCGCTTTCAAATTAAGAGAATCCTTTTAGTAAATGGAGCCAGTGGAATGCAAAATATTCAAAATTTTGGGAATTTAGAAAAACCAGACCACAATAAGACCTCTAATGCAAGAGCAAAGACAGCTACATCCAGGGCACATCTCTCTGCTCAGAACCAGTTTCTCATAAGTCCAAAGGGGCCTAATTTGGGTAGACTAGGAACTTTGTGAGCCATTTCTTAAAGGCACAAGAAACAAAAATCATTTGAAGAGATTATGCTTCCGCAAACATTCTTATGATTCTATTTCTCATATCATTTCCTTCATACTTCTTAATGTAAATTCAAAGACAGTAAAAATGAACCAAGAAAAATACCTTACCTTTCAATAAGGCAATGGTTAAATTATAATTATCCATACACGGAATACTATCTGGTCATTAAAAATCATGAGTAAGATATATATGAACTGACTTAGAAGTTGACATATATATGCACATATATGTATTTACATATACATACATATTCATTCTTATTTGAAGAGTGTTTATATATGTATAATATATAAATTATAAAAATTAGCCTTCTGGGAGATATGAATAGGCATGAGATAAAATTTTTTATTTACATATTTTGTCCAGTTTGAGTTTTAAACCATCAGCATGTATTATAAAAATGACTAATAAAGAAATGGCAAACACCACCCCTCGAAAAAAAATTTCCACTGCACAGCCCTTAGGCCCCCTGCAGGGCCTGTGAGCCACTTGTTTTTGCTCCTTTTTATCCTGTATCCACCATCTTTTGCTTCCTTACCTGTAATATGGGAACAACCCCCACAAGCCTGCTAAAAGGCTCAATGCAGAAAAACGAAGGCAGGCAGGATACAACCGGCACTGAGGTGAAAAGGGGGCAAATCAGAAATGAGATCTCATGAGCAGAGGAAAAACAGTCATAATCTACGTAATATTTATGAGCGCATAAACATTAATCTAATATGGCTATGAAGAAGATATTATTATCTTCTTCATAGCCTTATTTTACAAATGAGAGACTAGGTGCAAATACGTATCTTCCTTAAGGTAACAAAATAAAGAAATGACGGAGTCAGAATCCAGCCCTGCCTGGCAGCTCAGCACCTGCTCCTAGCCTGTGTTGCTTCAATACAAATTAAAAGAATGAGATTTTTTTTCCCAATCAGATCGGTAAAATTTTAAAAGATTGATAGCTCAAGTGTGGACGAGCATTTCAGAAAACAGGTACAAATGTACTTTTTGGTAGTAGTATAAATTACTGAAGGCCATCTGGCAAGAGATAACAAAATTTGAAACAGATATCTAACATTTGACCTGGCCATTTCACTTCTAGGAACTCATCCTGCAGAAATACTCACAAAGATGTCTGCACACAGATGTTCAATGGAGCACTTTTTTAATGGGGGCAGGGGAGATGACTTTGGGAACCATAGGTAGGAAAATGACTACATCACAATGTATTCAAAATATTAAATATTCTGTATCCTTTAAAAGTGAAGGTCAGTCCATAAATGCAGACATAGAAAGAATCCTAAAATATGGGTAAATGAAAAACAATTATCACAGAGCAATATGTACAGAAGGCCCTATTTATATAAAAATGTATATCACATCGTTTCTTCTCAGAAGAGTGATGGTGTCGTTTCCCTTATTTTCCTTCCCTCAAACACACACCACATACACAAACGATTCAGAAATAAGTTGTAAAAAACAAGTCATGTGTTATTTACAAATCATATGATAAAATAATTATTTCAAAAAGTCACAAATACAAGAGTTGTACAAAGTCAGTTTGGAGTCAAGTACCTCTTAAATATATTGCAAATCATATCTATTCCAGAGTTCTTTTCCAAAGAGATGTGGTTTAAAACCAGTGACAACTTTAGAATTTCATTATTTGATAACAAGAGGATAAAACTGGCAATAAATAGTCTAACAATTTCTTAAAATACTAAGTGGTAAATCCTATTCAAAATTCAAGACTATCCGAAGATTTTGCTTAAGTCAGTAAAAAGTTACACAAAATTTGTATTTCCGTGTTTAAAATCCTCATCGTATTTTCCTCAAAGTGACAATGATACATATAAAAGCTCAAAGAATTAATAAAGAAATTGAAATACCCAAGAAGTCAACAAACAGATTTCATTATAAGCTCAACATAAAAGAGCAACAAAGCATTCTGTCTGCTTCCCTTTTCAAAAACTACCATGGCACCTTGTCAAGTGGAAGCAGCACCTAGACACGTGGTTCACAAACCTTGGTAAGTGTGAGCATCACACAGAGGCTTTTGAGAATGCAGGTTCCTGGGCCCTGTTCCCAGACTCTGAACTCATTCCTGAGTCTGATGAACCTGCATTTTAAAACAAGATCCTCAGTGATTTCGATGAGATGGTATAAGAACTCCACTAACAATTCAAATTCTGCTGCCCAATCCTAACTTGCTGCCATTAGTTGGAAACTTGACTCTGGGTAGCTCTCCTTTAACTCTTTAGTTTTCTTATCTGTCAACTCAGTCAATTGGACTGATCATCTCTGAGGGCCCTTAAGTCCTAACAAGTCTGTGATTGAACCAAGATGTACAAGAAATGTAGTTTGAGCTAAAAACTTAAGTCTTCATGCCAAGACTAGTTTTTGCAACTCACTGGGTTTCTGTTTCTTTTCCACTTTTTAAAAAGTCTGCTTCTGTAAGTTCTGGGAGCATCTGAGTAGAGGCATTCTGAAAATGGTATCTGTGTTAATTTTGGAGGATATGTCATGCAAACAGGAAACTTCCAGCAATCCTGAGAGGTGCTGCATATACATGGTATGTAATGAGACCTGCTTGGTTAGAAAACAACAGAAACATTCCCATAACATTAAGCAGGCCCAAAATTCTCCTGTAAAACTTCCATTGGAAGAGCTGGAAAACTCAATAAGAGGTTTTAACGGAAAACCCAATAAGAGGTTTTAATAGAAAACTCAATAAGAGGTTTTAACGGTGGTTGAACTTAAAGAGTAAGAGCTGGATTTCCTGGAGGATTTCTTTGATATGAGGGATATTTGCATTCGCTTTACCTTACGGACACTTCGACAAAGGAGAGCATTCTTTGCGTGATCCCTAAAGTCTTGTGAAACAAAGTAATAAACAAAGGGGTCGATGCAGCTATTGAGGGTGGAGAGGCAAAGGGCTCCGATATACAGGCTGTAGACGTGGCTCTGGCCCCAGTGTTTAATCAGGAAATAATGCACCACGAGCAGAAGGTTACTAGGAGTGAAGCAGATCAGGTACATGGCCAGGACAGTGACAATAAGTTTGATGGCTCTCTTCCTCTTCTTTTCTGAATTTTCATCTATGGCAGAAGATTGAAGTATTCTGATCATCAGCACGTAGGCAGAAGCTGTGAGGAAGGCTGGGAAGAGAAAGACTCCAATGGCCAGAGAGAGGAAATAATTGAACATGTCCCCCACTAACACCTCCTTAGGCAAAACATCATGACAGGTCGTGATGTTAAGGGATGAAATGTATGTGGTCTGCTTCACGACATACAAGGGGATGGTAACCAGCAGAATCAGCAGCCATATTCCCAGGGAGACACCGATGGCAATGTTTGCCTTCTTCCTGGCATGCACCATGGGATTCACGATAACCCAATACCTCTGCACACTGAGGCAGGTCATGAAGAGAATGGAACAGTACATGTTGCCATAGAAAAAGCCGATGAGAACCTTGCAAAGAGATTCTCCGTAAATCCAGTTGTTGCCACGTATATGATAGGCAATCTTAAGCGGGAACCAGATGATAGAGAGGAGGTCTGCCAGGGCCAGATTGGCCATGTAAATCACGGCGGGGTGCTTCTTCTTTGTTCGGAAAAGAAAGACCCACAGGGCCATACCATTACTTGGCAAACCAATCATAAATACAATTGTGTAGACAATTGGAAGGAAGACAGAAGTCAGTTTTCCAGTGAGGATGGAGGCAGAAAACTCATCCACGGAAAAGCTTGGTTCCACTGTAACTCCTTTCCCAGAGATCTGAGATGAGTCATCAATCTTACCAATGAGACTTCTTCCTTTAGAGGTTCTATTGACTCCTGCACAAGAAAGGCAAGGCAGACAAGGGTCATTACCAAAATCAATTTTCAGCAGTAAGGCTGGTAAGTTCAAGTAAAAGCACTTTAGATAAAGACTGAAGGACTACACTAAATGCTTACAGGGGCTTTCTTTGAGTGATGGGATTATTGGGATTTACATTGTCTGCTTTTGTTTGTTTCCTTGTTTTGTTTTACAATTAGTATTTTTTTTATCGGAGGGTTGTAGAGTATGTGTGGAATATAACGTCCATATCTACAAATCTCAAACAAAACTGACAGTACTTCAATGTATTTTTACAAACTGTCCACACCCCTTAGCTCCTGCCCTTTATAATGGCCATCTCACTTGGCAGAGACAGGATCCAGTCTGGCCTATCAGTCATTCCTTATCCCAAAGCACACACAGGGAGATTCCTAGAAGCATAAAGGACATTCCCTCTCCACCCACAAGGACAGCCTCAGCCATGGCAGGGATTCCCCAGCTTCTGTGTGGGCCTCCTGGAGACCTTCCTGTGGAGGCCAGCTAGCAGGCACACTTTCTGGCTTCATGGTCACGGGACAGGTGGGTCCACCAAAGGCAAATCTGTGTTCTGACTTTTAAGCAAGTAACATGGCAAGCTGTAACAACTTACGCTCTCATCCCCATATTATGAATTAAAACTTTAGAAACCACAAACAAATAAATGACACATTCAGCCTACAACCTGTCCCAACCAAGTGATCACGGACCTGCAGAAGAAAGTGAGGGACAATTTGAGAGCACTGAAGAATTTTACTTTAGTTCTGGGGAACAACAGGCCTTAACTATACAGAGAAACAGAGCAAAGTGTACTACAGTATGCCAGAGAGGATGTTAAATGTACTCATGAGCTTATCTGATAATTTTTATGCCTAGTCATCACTTTTTCCTCTTCTAGCTCTGCATCCATGTTCAGAGGATGATTCACTTCCCTTAAGGCTTTGCTGTTAAGGACTAACAGTGGTCAGCCTGGTTGGGGGCTTAGAGAGTACGGAGATCAACAGTTCACTTTTCATTTGGTGCAGCAGGTTGAAAGTTGGCCCCCCAAAAGAGATGTCCATGTCCTAGTCTCTGTGATCATTATCTTATTTAGAAAAAAGGTCTTTGTTAACAAAGGATCCCGAGATGAGAAGATCATCCTGGATTACACAGGTGAGCCCTAAATCCAATGGCAAATGTCTTTATAAGAGAAAGGCAGAGGGAGATTTGCAGAGAGACAGAGAGAGGAGAAAGGGTTTGAAAAGAGAGGCAGAGACTGGGTAGAAAAGCCACTGGGCCACCAGCCTCTGGATACAAAAAAGGAATTCTCCCCCTCCAACCTTCAGATGCCAAGACACCTTGATTTTGGACTTCTGGCCTCCACAACTGTGAAAGCATAAATTTCTGTTGTTTGAGCCACCAGATCGTTGCAATTTGTTATGGCACAGGAAACTAATAGTACACTTAAGATAGAATCTATCTCTTGTTCCAATTTCTTTTTATAATTTTTTAAAAAGAACAAGAATTATTTTTAAATAAAAATAATAATCCTCTCCCACTGGCTGCTCTGGAAAAGCCATCTTTGCATCGTTCACATGCCTGGCTCCCTGCAGCCACCTTCGCGATGCACCTCCTTGGTCACCACAGACTCTGGCAGCTTTTTGCCAGAGTCCTCGAATTCGTGCTTTCTTTTCAATCCGCTGCATCAGATCCCGGGCCTGCCCCATGACATCAGACGCAGAGGTGGACACCAGCTCCGACATCACCACCAAGGACTTAGAGGAGAAGGAAGTTGTGGAGGAGGCAGAGAAGGAAGACACACACCTGCTAATGGGAACGCTGATGAGGGAAATGGGGAGCAGGAGGCTGATAACAAGGTAGATAAGGAGGAGGAAAAAGGAGGAGGAAGGTGACAGTGAGGAAGAGGATGGAGATGAAGATCAGGAGGCTGAGGCAGCTACAAACAGGCAGCTAGAGACGATGAGGGTAATGATGTTGACACCAAGAAGCAGAAGACCAATAAGGATTGACTACTAAGACCAATAAAGGAAAAGTTAAACTTAAAACAAAAAAGGCCCCCATGACCTAGTCACCCTCCAGTGCCCATCACAGAATCTAAACGTGGTGACCTTCAAGCAGAGTCCCGCCCACCCATCAAGGTTAGCCTCGCCCCCCCAGATGACAAACGTTCTCCACCATCCAACCAAAACCACAATGTGAATTTGCAACAGGGGAAGAAAAAAGAACCTAATCTTCCAAGGCCCTGCTTGTTTTCTTAAAAGTACTTTAAAAAGGAAAAGTTTGTATTTTTCATTTACATTTTATATTTTTATATGTATTGTTAGGGGTCAGCCATTTTTAATGATCTCAGGATGACCAAACCAGCTTGGGAGGACTGTCCGTTCTCTGTCCTACTACTGACTTTACTTGTGGTGTGGCCATGTTCATTATAATCTCAGAGGAAAAAAAACCTTGTAAAAAAAAAAAAAAAAGCAAAAATAGCAGCAAAGAAACAATCTTATTACCAGCATTCCAGTAACTCTTTTTGTGTATGTACTTAGCTGAACTGTAAGTAGTTGGTTTGTATGAGATGGTTTAAAAGGCCAGAGATAAAAGGTTTCTTTTTCTCCCCTTTTTTGTCTATGAAGTTGCTTTTTATTATTTATTTACTTACTTATTTGTTGGCCTGTTTGATGTATGTATGAAACAATGTTGTACAACAATAAATCGGAATTTTATTTTGCTGAGTTGTTCTTAAAAAAATAGTAATAATAATAATCTTATATATCACAGTATTCTTCATATACTTGACTATAACCCATAATAAGAAACATATTCTGTATGGTAACCTAGTTCTAATACAAGTATCCAAAATGAAAAGTTTCACAAAATAATAGTGACCCTTATTACTCAGGGTACACTGACAGTTTCTATTGTGTTCTAATCCATTCTTATACAAAGCCAGTCACCATCCTCTACATTGATTTTATAAACCACTTCTGTTTTCCAAAACCAGTTAGCAGAATGACCAGTTTTGAAGCACCCCAAGAGAATAGCACCAATGCATTAACAAAGGGGTGAGGTGTCTATGGAACTCATCCCAAAATGTTCAGTGTCCCTGTGTAATTTTTTTATGGTCCCTACAGCCCCTGGCATAGCCCTGGACATACAGCAGGTGCTCCACACACCTGCAATGGATAGAAAAGCTTAGCTAGCCACACCAGTGAAGGCCGTGAGGGAGAATCAAGAGGCACGGCCATTCCGCCCATTTCTTTAGGGCTCTGGCTTGGCCCAAGGTAGTACTGAAACCACATACAGACACCAGCAGCGGGTTATAGGAGTATAGCTCTAAAAAATAAAACTACCTTAATACCGGTCAGCGCTAACTCTTAATAAAGGCTAATATTATGTGTCTGGCATTGCTTTCAACACTTTACATGTATTAACTTATTTCACTTTCATAACAACCTCATGAGGTAGGGAATCTTATTAGATCCTCATTTGACAGATGCAGAAGCTGAAGCACAAAGAAATTGAGTTAACTTCCCCAAAGTTAAACCGTCGTTAGGTAGGAGAGTCAGGATTCAATCCCAGGTTGTCCATTTCTAGAATTCATGGTTCTAACCACTAAATCACACTGGACCTTACATCTTGACCTGAGGTTACATGCTGGACTCCATGGAGACCAACGTAACCTGTACTGATGTCACACAACACGTTTTCTCAAAACAGAAAATTTTAAATGTAAACGTTACCATTTAAAAAACTACACTCTTTAAGTTAGCCCCTCCTCCAATTTATATATTTATTTGTATTAATATCAACATATTTTAGAAGGCCTTCAGAGGTATAAGAGACTCCTATAAATTTTCCATCCGTCTGAAAAACTACCAGCTCTCAAAAGAGGGGTGTGACGAAGCTGGTAACTGTGAATAGTGGACCAGTGTTCTAAGAAACTTCCATTCAAAGAGCTAGGGCATTCGCCCCAGAAATAGCCCACCAGAGACCAATGCAACGAGTTAGCCTGCATTTCTGCAGGACATAGAGCCACCAAGATTTTTTAATAACCACAAGGAAAACCCAATTTTTCTTCCACTATTAAAAGTTATATAGCTTGCTTTATAAAAGGAAGAAAAATCTAAGCATTGATTGTCTATAGCTACTAACACCACAAAAAAAACTGATAATCAGACATGATGTGCCTCCTAAGGGAAGAAGCACCTGGGAAGGAATCTTGCAAAAACCCCCAAAAAACAAAACCTGAATCTGATCAAGCGACTGGATCCAACCGCCATTTTAATGGAAATAAAAGGGACAATGGGATGTGTTAAAAAACATCACGAGAACACAGTCAACAAAATCCCGACTGTGGAACTGCTACAGGATAAAGTACCTAATTTATTCAAAGTATAAATTACAAAGTAAAAATAAGAGAAAGAGGTGTGGAGGAAAGACTTATAGATTAAAAGATTGAAAAGACGTATCAACCTTATGTAATCTATGGACCTTATTTGGATCCTGATTCAAACTACTAAAATAGTGTTTATGACATTTATGAGAAAACTAGAAACTTAAATACTGACTGAATATTTGATAATATTAAGAAATTATTGTTAGTGGTTATATTGGGACAAGAAATACTCATCTTTTCTGAATACATACTGAATATTTTAAGATAAAGTTACACCTGGATTTATTTAAAAATAACACAAGGATTGGAACCTTGAGACATCCCTACTGTTGGGAATGTAAAATGGTGCACCTGCTGTGGAAAACAATGTGGGAGTTCCTCAAACTGTTAGAGTTGCCACGTAACCCAACAATTCCTACTCCTAGTACATACCCGAAACAAATGAAAACACGTGTCCACACAAAAGCTTATGTGAATGTTCACAGCAGCACTATTCATAAGAGCCAAAAAGTAGAAATAACCCAAAGTCCAACAGCAGATAAATGGATAAACAAAATGTGGCATCTACATACAATGGAATATTATTTGGCA